CATAATTTTATTTACTACTTTGAGGTTTATTACACTACTCTCTCCATGTGCATTATGTTAGTCCCTGGTTGCTATGAATTACCATGCCTTTGTATCTAGGGTTGTGGACTTCTGGGGTTAGTCAGTGGTCTGTTTGGGTCTTTGTGGAGATTTCACTGCTGGATAACATTTTCGGCCCTTGGTGTTCATCAAAGTAAAATGCTGTCATGCCAGCCAATGAAACATGTTACTATGCTGCCATTGCAAGTTTAAAAAATTGGTTGGTCTGTGTTGTCATTTCACCAAACTGCCCTTTCTTCTTTCAGATATATCTGACATGATACTTTCTTTCCGTGTTCTGTGTCTAGCCTCCATTTAGCAGAAAACTCATTTCAGTCTTGTGTTGGTATGAGAGATTGGCAGGTTTTCAAGTTACTTGATGCTATATTTAATCTTAATTACAAAATGAATTCAACCTCAGTGGGACATTTAGAACATAAGCTTGAACATGTCTGATTTTATATCTGGCAATACAACACATTTCTGCTCTGCACACTGGTTTGTATGTGGATAAGACCAGCACGTTGGCTGTCATTAAATTCTCTGAAGAGTGTAACTGGTTATACCGAATTTAAAAGAGAACATATAGGCAGACAGGCAGTGCATCACTTGAGAAGCTGTATATCTTAGCAAACCTGGGCTGTTAGTTGAGGTCAGCCACAAACAAATGCACTGATGAGAGCAGTTTTGCTTCCTAAAAGTGTTGGACTTTTAATGCTAGTAGTTGTTTTTCATGATGGGCAAATGACTTCTGTTGCCACTCCAGTGTACAAAGAACTACTAGGTGCCCATGACAGGAAATTAATGGGTGAAAGCCATGCCTGCCTTAATCAGGTGGAATTAAGAGCCAAAAACCCCTCTTTAGTTCCTGAAATCTAACAGCATTTTGGGACTTGTCTATCCTGTGGCATTTTCAATAAATCTCTTCTCCCTCTCCACGTTTCCCTCTGGCTTGGCCTGTAGGTCTCTTGGCCTCTCTCCACTTCTGCTTACCACTTCCTTGTCCAGAGTGCTTACTGAGCAGGAGGTTCAGGAGGAGGCACTGAGTTTGTTGGTACATTGAAAGATGATTTTTGGGACCATTTAATGCCACTCGTCTAGTCATTCTACTGCAGCTGGTTCTGTAGAACTTTTAAATGAAGATTGACCCCTGAAGACATTTGACACTTTAGAAACACTGCTTTTCTAAGGTGTTTGGGCATGTTTTGTATTCCTAAACCTGATGTTAAGCTTGGGAGGATAGTGAATTGTGAGGATGATGCTAGATGATTTCAGAGGGGCATTGACAAGTTGGCTAAATGGGCAGTCACCTGGCAGATGAATTTCAATGCAGAGAAATGAGAGTACACTTTTGAAGAAAGAATCAATACAGGCTGAATGTACAACTTTGAGGGAAGTACAGGAGCAGAGGGACCTTTGGGGTTCACATGTATAATTCTTTGAATGTAGCCAGGCAAGTTGAAACAGTTATGATGAAGGCTTATGGGTTTATAAGTAGAGGCATAGAGTATAAAAGCAAGGAAGTGATGGTACACCTCTACAAATCATTGGTCAGTCCACATTTGGAGTATTGTGCTCAGTTCCTTGTTTAAGGAAAGATATTCAAGCATGGGAGAGCATGCAAAGGAGGTTTACTAGAATGATAGGAATTTTAAATACAAGGAAAGATTTGAGAAATTGGTCTTATTCTCCTTGGAGCAGAGAAGACTAAGAGCTGACCTCACTGAGGTGTTCAAAATTAAGAACAGTTTTTACAGGGTAAAGAAGGATGTTTGGTTTCCATTAATTGGTTTGTCAGTAAGGGGTCACAATTTTGAGATTGTCAGCAAGTGAACTAGGAATGAGATGAGGAGAAACTTCTTGACTCGGTTGTCAGGTTTTGGAATGTGCTGCCTGGGGGAAAGGTGAAGGTGGATTCCATAGGAGGGTTCAAAAAGCTAGATTATATATTTGAATTTGAATTAAAGGGCTATGGAGACAGGGCTGGAGAATTGAAACTTGCTGGGTAGCTCTTTTGGGAGCCAGTACAGGCATGATGGGGTTGAAGGGCCGCTTCTATTATAAACCTCTGGTTCTATGATCTCAACAATATCGGAAAGATTGGGAGGTTGTCTCATGGAGCATTTTAAATTGCATTCTTCCATATACTAGCTCTCCCAAATTCACTTTTGTTGAGTGACAGTTCAGTTTGAAAAGTGAAATTTTGTACACTTAAACTCCAGGATATTAAATAAAAATATTTTGGGTGAAATAAATGCCATTGCTTTCTTAAGCTGCCTCAACAACTATTCTCGCTCATTCTTACCACAGTTCTGTCCTTCCCAGTTCCTGGATGATGTTTTTCCCCTTTTAATGTTCATTTAACTTGCATGGAAACTGTCTTTGACCTTCATTCTCCAGTTCAAAATAGCCAATCTCATCAAATTTATAGACCCCTTATCTCTGCCTGATTTATATTTGTTGAAGTGAAGAGATTAAGCAATCTTCCTCTCACCACTCATAGCAGTTTCAAGTAAAGAGATCAGTTTCAAGTAAAGAGATCACTCGGAAGAAAAATAAAAGTTTCCTTTTACATGCTATCAATTTTAAAAAAAAAGCCTGCTTAGCTGTTTGAATTTTGAATTTGTCAAATTGAAACAAGCATACTCATCTTTAGCTGCTGCTGCTAGTTTGACTTTTTTTATCAGCTACAATACAAAAATGAATTGTAATGTAATAGTTATGTTGTATTTAAAACCTAGAGGTCATGAGTTCAAATGGTGCTATGGTAAATTTAAAATTGAGGTTTACTAAATTCTGTTAGCATTTTGCCATATCATTATTGGGTTACAATTGTTCTTACACGTGTGATAACTTAAATATAGATTTTTGCTTCCTCTGGTAGTGCATATCTGTATATAATCTTGATATCTGTACACATTCTGCACATGGATGGGGGGGAAATGGACATGACATCGTATTAATTTGTTTTTTTACTTCAAATTGGACATGACAAACCATTTACTAGATCATGTAATTTGATTTATTTTAACACTTAATTGGTTATCGTGTTTATCTATACTACTTCCGTTTGTGAAAAGTAACTCACTGAAGCAATTTAAATCATCCTAAAAATTGGCTAAGATCTAGGCAAATATATTTCTTTTGTTTAATTCAACCTGGTCAATGTTAATTTACTCCAACTTTAAAATTTACTGCTGCAGCCTCCTTCATGAATTTGTATGACTAAAGTGCACAAAAATGCAGTTTCCATTAAAGAACCCAGTGATGGTGCGGCTTGCACAAATAATTCTTGCAGAGGCTTTGATTAACTTTTACACTATTCCAATGAGGATGTTTCTGTGGAACAGATGTTAGAACCATAGTTTCCTTGAAGTGCAAACACCTCTGCGAGAGAGAAAAAAAGTACTTTTAAGGTAAACCCTTGTACAGCATATAGTCGTTTAATTGATTTCTGATATACTTTCAGATTGCAAAAAGATGTCAAGGAACAAGAAATATTTTTAGCCAGAGACTTGTAAAATTATAAACTGTGCAACTAACCGGCATATGGAGGATTAAAAAAAAAGACATATATAAGTTACAGCTTTGGCATTTTTAAGTTTTAAACAAATTACCTGAAGTGACTGCTGCCCATTTGGGATTGGGATGGGGGTTCTGCAAGAGCATTGGGTACAATACTATAAAGCTGCTTGTAGTTGACTCTGTCAACTAAGCATGTGCATGAAATGTGTGCCGCTCACCATTCAAAAATTTGAGAAGCTGGTAAACAAAACTGAACATTTATTGTGAACTTTCTTTATACTGCGTTGCGTTGATTTCCCAAAGTATCTTTTCGTACAAGTTTTGACATGGTTTGTCTTTGCTTGAATGACTGACTGACTGTTTTAGCTTAGAGAGCCAACATAAGATCAGACAAAAGCTGATCTGTCCTGCTCTCGTGAGGACAGAGTCCTTACAAATTTTGCAGCGACTGAGCTTTGTTTAAAAATGGTTTAGAATACTTACACTTTTATTTTTAAAAGAGTTAAGGGATGTTAAAATTTGTTTATGGAAGTTATCATGTGACTTTCAATTCTAGATAGAATTTATCACAATCACAGAATTGTCACGGTGTAGAAGTAGCTATTTAATCCATTGTGTCTACAACTTGTGAGCATTTGACTTATTGCCGGTCTTTTGCCATTTTCCCCTACAACTCTGTACAAATATTTTGATTTAGTTTTAACTTTTACAAGACTTCTGTTCTATAATCCTTAGATGTTTGACTGGACATGGTAGTTTTTGTCTTCTGTTTTGATCTCTGTTGTGACAGAGAATGAAACCTAACTTTGTCCAGTTTGATACAAAGATACATTTCGAGGAGGAGTGAAATGCAGATTGTAGATAGTATTATTGAAGAGTATCAGGTGTTATGCATTCAAATCGCAGATTTGCCCAAGAACAAGATATGGTGCAATCGTAGTGCCCCTACCTCTGAGCCAGAAGGCTTGTGTTCAAGTCATACCCTATGCATGCATCGTGATGTGTCTGAACAGGTTGACTTAAAATATGAAGTTTTTTAGAATTTGCATTGTTTTGAAGTACCTGATTGATTATCATAACAGAATTAGTGCTCAAATTCATAAATCCAACACTTAAGCCATTAATTAAAGTGTTCCAAAAGGTGAAACTGTAAGTTTATGATCTAGAATCGGATTGAGCTGTAGGTTTCCCAATGGAAGCACCAGATAAATGTGCTGAACGACTTTTCTTGTCTTTGTGGTCTTATTGTGACTGAAGAAAAATTCAAATTCTAAATGTAGTAATACTTTAAATTTTAAATTGTGTATTACATTTGTATTCATAAAACTGACTATAAAAGTCTATTCAGAATTTTGACTATTGTTGACTATGGAGTGTCAGCTTTAAAAGTGTCCTGTTTATTTTCAATGCCCCACTGTATATTTCTCTCTTTTCAGTTGTCTATCACCATGGAAACAGTGCAACTGGTGGACATTACACTACAGATGTCTTCCACATTGGTCTTAACGGCTGGCTGCGCATTGATGACCAGATAGTGAAAGTGATAAATCAGTACCAAGTTGTGAAGCCCTCTGCTGAACGTACAGCCTACCTCCTGTACTATCGCCGAGTTGATCTGCTGTGAACTGTCAGTGCACTGTTGCTCTAGCATCTCACCCCTCAGAGCACCAACTGTCAGATAAACCCTTCCCTCCCTCATTGCAACTTTTCAAATCCACTCTCAGTAACTTCAGATTTAAGTTTAAAGGGGAAAAACCTGGGGATGTGCACCAGCAGCAAATCTTGTAGGTATATGTCTGTGACATCTTTCATAACATTTTAACTTCATACAAATCAGTTGCTAATGTTTTTGCTTTTGATAATAGGTAACACTTGAGCCCATGTTTTTGGGGGAGGGATAAGTGTTCCATTGTACTGAATGCTTTGGTGTTTTGATGAGAAAAACTTGCGTGTGATATTACTGGGTGTTGAGTAGCAGTAGGATGCTGACAGTTTTTAAACAAAAAGCTTAATGAAAATGCTTAAAACTGCACGTTACAAAATAACATGCAAATCTACATTTGAGGTTGAAATATTGAGACTGCTTAGATGGGTGATTGTAACTTTAATGCAGTTACTAAGACTTCTGATTGCAATTATGCTTCTGTGTACACAGTTGAAACTTGATATAAAAAGAAAAGATGATTGATATAATTCCATTAATGGTTCAGTCTGGCTTTGTTTACTTTGTGGTTTTGCTCTTCTCTCATTGTTGAAATAGAGCTGTACACAATTTAGTGATATTTATAGAAAATTGAGTTTATCACCCATCAGTTAATAAATTCATTTCAAGCTCTTTAAATAACTGTTTGGGCGTGAATTGGACGCAAGATCACAATGGTGCAAAGAATTTTGATTTGAGAACAGTCTGTTTCAGCTTTCCCAGTATTGGTACCAGAAAATGGTAAAATTTAAAACCCTCTGCAGTTCTAGAATTGAGTTACCCATTCAAAAACATTTAGACAAACCACCTTTTAATTTTGTTTGCGCCACCTTAATTGGGCTGTAACAAAATACTTCCAGTGAAATTTCACTGTAATTAAATGCTTCTTTTGCTAATTATAACATTCTTACAAACTTGCAGTTAACTGACAACTCATTCCACTATTGATTGCCACACAGCCATTATAGTGATCTCACCAACTTATTCCCATGCCAGTGGAATTAGTTGCTTGTTTGGGTCAATTAAATGTTACCACCTGTCCAATAAGTAATGATCTCATCAAAAGAAGTCCTCATTATTGCCATACTTCTGTCAGCTAACAGTTTGAATTAAAGTGCACCTGTATTTTAATGAACTGAATTCTTATTACTGCCGTAAGAAATGTCTCTCAACCCATTAGGCTGCGGCAAATGTTTTTAGTGATTGTTGTGAGGATACCAGTTTCTGTTGGGATGGAGGGTAGCTGGTGCTGGGGACTTAATCTCTGTTTTTAAAAACTTTTTTCCATGTTTGGTTGCCAGGGATTGATAGACAGCTATCTGCAATTTTTGCTTGATGATCTGTTTAGTTCATGTATTCAAAAACTTATTTTCCCAGCCTTTTTAATTCTTCACTTGTGCATTCCCTAATAAAGACTTCCCCGTACCTTTAAATCCTTTCTTAAATGACCAAACATGGCTGACATTTTAATGTGAGATATTTTCAGAGCTTTTTAAGAACTATACATACGTGGTAACCAAATGATTTGCTTTTAGATTCTGTGAACTTTGATCTTGAGTTAATTTGTTGTCTTGCAGATGAAACTACCTTGAATAAAAGTCTATTACTATGAAATATTGCAACGTGTAATCTGTTTAACCAAGAAGTTTGCCCCTATATTCTATTTGAATCTTCATTTTATGTAATATGCTTTATTTATCAGAATGATGGCAAAAATGGTTCCAAATTTGCACAGTATCTGTTGCTTGCTATTTGAAGTTTTAATCCTGCATATGTTACAATAAATTCAGTTATAACTTTTTTTAACCATTTCTTGGTTAAAGTGTGTGGTTAATATCCAACCTGAAGATTGATTAATATTAAAAGTTGTACCTAAGATAAGTTTAAAGTGTGAATTTTTCCCCAGTTAACTTGATACCATTCCCAGTTTCAGATTTTTGACTTGAGTAAAGTGCTGAATACTGCCTAAAAATTGCAGATTAGTACCATCATTAGTTAGAACGGGTTTTCTCACCTTGCCCAAAGTGATGCATTATGTTACCAGATCAACTCTACCTATTGACACAAGCAAGGAATTTATGAAACTTTCCCATTTGGGGAGACTGATGATAAAGCTTCAAATCACCAATTAGAACCAGTTCAGTACCACAAAACCAATTACACCACAGCAGTGGTTTATTTAAGTAATTTTAGCAGCCCAGTGGCATGCAACAGATGGGTCACTTGGGGGGAGAATTGTTTGTTTTATGCTTTTGTTTGCTTTAGTTTGGCAGATTGAGGTGAAGTTAAACACACAGTCTGAAGGGCAGCTGCCAGTTTGCACATGGTGCATAATTATTTGCTGGCACTATATGAACTTCATTCATAAAACTGACAGAATTGTCCTTCAGTTCTTCGACAATGTTTGATTTGGCTGTACAGCCCAGGAAACCAGACCTCGAGCAAGCAACAAATTTGAACTGAATTAAAATAGTGAATGTGTTTTTCCAAGAGTCTTAATTTTGTAATTAAGTCTAGTTCCTTCATCCATTTTTGTTCAGAGTTTGCCAGGAGATGAAGTAGTGATATCAATTCTCATTTTTGAGTTTTACTTGTACAGCCAGATGAAACTTCAGGACTAAGCTAAAATACAATAACTGCCTGTTTTAGGATTCAGTTGGGTTCACAATGTGATTCACGTGTACTGGAAGCTCCCTGTATTCACACCTAGGACCTTGACTTTGCAGCAAGGAACATGTGCCTTTTCAACTTAAACAAAAGTGGAACAGCTGCTCCCTGGTGTATTCCCCATTGGCAATGTTGAGTCAGTCAAGTTGTCTGGTTTAAATTTAAACAAATATTTGGCAGTTAACTGTTCCCTGGTGCATGTCTATGGAAAAGCCTGTACCAGTCAGAGTCCACTTGCCTTCCGGTTGTCACCCTCTTCTCATGCAGTGTAAACTTATTTCCATTAGGATCTTCTAATTTTTGCAATTCTGTCCTGATGTGCAAGATGGAAAACTTCGACGAAATGTTTCTGTTTTCAGCAATATCAGAACTGAAACTATTCATTTCAGTGATGCAAGTAAGGTTCACCAGAAATGCACTGAATAACTTACATTATGCAGTTGAGTTTAGAACAATGCAAAGGTTATCGATGTTTACTGTAAAGGTGTAAATCTCACCAACTTCTGGTCCCCACATATGCCCAGTCAACCACATAAGTCTGTTAATTGTCTTAAATTACACTGCTGCTCCAGAGGTTTTGCTGCATTTGTATCCCAATGAGGGACTGCATTCATCTTCGCATGAAGTTGAAGTACTTGTCCCTTAGGTAGACACCAGAAGAAATTGAGGCTGATCTATTCAAGATTGAATTTTTAATGGTGTGCGATGAATCTTAATTACATTAACTGCATCTCAATTTTTTTTCATTTTTAGCTCACGGTCATTTTCAAGTGCTTAAAGTTCCCACCATAGGAGTTGTTGGTTGGTTCACTGAGCTGACTGGTTTTTGTGCAAACGTTTCATCTCCCTCCTAGATGACATCATCAGTGCTGTGTAGCCTCCGTTGAAGTGCTGTTGTTCTGTCCCGCTCTGAATTTATATGATCCAGTCTATCATAGTGGGAAGAAGGATCTAGGCCCGAAATGTCAGCTTTCCTGCTCCTCTGATGCTGCTTGGCCTGCTGTGTTCATCCAACTCTACACCTTGTTATATCGTGATGGGTAGTCTTGTTTCTGGTTTTGTACTGTAGTGGTATGTAGATAGGGTCTATTTCAACACGTTTGTTAATTGCATCGGTGGTTGAAAAGCAGGCCTCCAGGAATTTTCATGCTTGTCTTTGTCTTGCTTGTCCTTGTTCTGTAACTTTGTCCCAGTCAAATTGATGTCCTTCGACGTTGGAGTGTATTGAAATGAGGGAGAATTGGTCATACAGTTTTGCTGTTTCGCCAGTTACTCTCCAAAGGCAAAAGACCCCATACCCACAATGAACAGGACAAATGTGATATAAAAATACCATGCAGCAACTGCGAGAAACACTACATAGGCAGATGGGCAGGAAACTTGCCACCAGGGTACATGAACACCAACTCACAGCAAAACTGCACGACCAATTCTACCCACCATAACAGACCGGATCATATAAATTCAGAGCGGGACAGAACAACAGTGCTTCAACAGAGGCAAAGGATGTCACTTAAAAGGAAAACGAAACATTTGCATGAAAACCAGTCAGCTCAGTGAACCAACCGCAACCCAAGCTACAGATCTTTGTTAAAACATTAAGTTCCCACCAAAAATCAATTTGCCACTTCATCGCTTTTCCCCCTTGAGTTACTCCTCAATTGATTTTGATTGATGTCTTGTCACAGCTCACAGTAATTCTGCTAGAGCAGTTTCTTTCCACTGCAGTGATACACCTTTGGACATGTTTCTCATTATCCAGCTTCTACATAAAGTTTCATGGTGACGAGGTACTGTTTTCAGTCGGAACTCATCATTTAAGTCACTCATCAATCAAATCAAGCAAACTTTTTATTTTAAGTTTCTGGGTGTTGCAGACTTCTCTGCAGCACTCAACAATTTTTGTTCCTGGGCGAAATTAAAGTAAAAGGCTGTACTCTGATCCTATTCCAGAAAACCCAGGTAATATACATCTGCAACAGGATCACAACTCAAAGAAATACTGTTCTGATAGAAGCTGAGAAATAGATTCAAACCCCAGCCAATTTGATCTCCCAAGTTTTTGGGATTTGTTTTCTTGAGGTGTTCATTATGTTCTGGAATACAGTGTCCAGTTCTAGTCGCTCAGTTATAGGAAGGATATTGTCAAGCTGGAGAGGGTTCAGAAGAGATTTACCAGGCTGCTGCTGGGTATGGAAGATCCGAGTCATAAAGAAAGGCTGGGACTCTCTTCACTGGCTTATAGGAGGTCGTGAGCTGACCTGATAAAGTTTATAAAATAATGAATGGTACAATAGTTGAAGATAGTCGTCTTTTCCCCAATTTCAAGACTAGGGGGCACATTTTTAAGGTGAGAGGAGAGAGATTTAAAAAAGACATGGCAAATTTTTTTTTTTTTTACACAGGGTGGTTTGCGTGTGGAATGACCTTCCTCAAGAAGTGGTGGATGCGGGTACAATTACAACTTTTAAAAGCCATTTGCATGGATACATGAATAGTAAAGGTTTGGAGGGATATGGGCCAGGCACAGGCAGGTGGGACTAGTTTAGTTTGGGATTACGTTTGGCATGGACTAGTCAGACCAAAGGGTCTGATTCTGTGATGCTAACAGTTTCTCTTGTGGATTGCTCAATGCAGTTGTCTCTCATCCTCGGATAACTTACACCACTGCTAGAACTCTGATCACTGCGGTGGAGTTTTGGATACCTTCTCTTTTCTATTATTACTAAAACCTCATAACCCTCCCTGAAGAAAGTGTGTGCTATCTGTCTGTAATTTGTTGTCATCTTGATTGCATTCATTTGATTGATAGGTGCAGCATTTTATCAGCCCTGTATAAAGTGACTTCAATCTGTTCAAACAGCTTCCCCATGTCTCAGGATCAGGTGAGAAGGTTGAAGCTCTTGGCTAGGCAAACCTGTATTGAGTGAGTTCCTGGGCCATCTGTAATCTTCATATCTACATCTATCTTGTTGGTTGTTTATTTCATAGACTGCAAAGTTGAACTGCAGTTCATAGAATTGAATCAACAAGTAAGGAATTGAGTTAAATTGAGGCTATGCCAGTTTTAGATAGTTAGCTTATTAAGAAATATCAATATGTTTAGTAAGCCATGTCTGGAGTCTTGGGTAGATCATCCCTGTATCAAGTATCCCTTGGCTTTAATTTGCTGTTGAAATATAAAGAGTTGTATTGTTGATCTTTGCACTTTTACACCTTATAAGAAAACCCATGGGCTTAGAAGGGCTGTGGCTGCAGGAATATGGAATTGGCTGAGAGGCAGGAAGCAAAATAGTGAACAGTTCTTTTTCAGACTGCGGGACACTATACAGTAATGCATTTTTTCTTCTTTTCTCCCTGGGTGGATTTACCTTTTAGGAACATTTGCTTACTTTACTACTTTTTAGTTGCCTGAGTTTTGATAGAGGCAGAAGGAGGTCACAATACTTGGAAATATTGCAATAAATAAAATTCTAACTCCAATTTAAAGTTGGGAGTTAAAATAGCATCAAGCTTCATTTGTGGAGCAGAATTTTAAACTTCTAATATACCTTATCTCCTCATTCACTCTTTAAGACCTGGCTCCAATTTTTCACCTATGCCTAAGTTTGTGACTCCCAAACAGCAGACATCGATTGTCTCTATTCTGTTACCCTTTAGTATTTGGAAAACTCAATCAAATGGCAACCTTACAAATTCCATGGAAAATAGCTGTAGTTGTGTAATCCTCTAAATGTATTCCTTGAAGGGATTATGCTTTTTTTTTGTTTAATAATTATTTCCAGCATTGTATCATCTTAACAGGTAAATGAGAAACTTTTCAGGTCAATGTCCTGATGACGCGTCATTATCCTGCAACACTGGACTGTTTTTTTTTCAAAGTATTAGTTTAGTACCAATTGTGAATTGTGACTTTGTGATGGGGAAGCCCAGTCCATTAGTGTAAA